CACCAGGCACCTACACACAAGAAACAAGGGTCAGTAAGAGTCCCTGATCACTCTTGTTTTAGTCTAGAAAGGGCTCCCAGCTCTTACCCATTAAAGTCAATGACAGCATAGCGGGGAGAGGAGTCTCTGTCTGGGCTCAGGGTGGCCACACAGCTGTCCACAAAGAGCCTCAGAGCCACATGGTTCCCAGTGTGGACATCAGCTTGGATATGCATGACCTCCCCCAGCTGGAATCCATTGGAGGGTCTCTCAGCACTCCAGTCATCTGCAAGGCAAGTTGACAGTGAGCAGGACAGACAGGCAGGCAGGGCTGGGCTCCCCTGAAGGCTCCTCCCACCTACCATTCATCAGGTGCAGGGAGAAATCCAGCCTCTCCTCAGCAGACAGGGTGGAGCTGAAGGGAACCCATGTTGGCTTGATGGCTTTACTGCTCACATTGTCCTTCCTGGGAGAGGAGCAAACCTCAGTCACTGAGCCAGATCCCAGACCAGGGACTGAAGAGGGAGGGAGGGGATCTGAGCATCTCAGACTCTCACCTGGGGTAGTGACACTCAATGGGAATCACAGCTGGATTGGTTCTCAGGATCACTGGGTTGCTGGCAGGGGTGGGGTTATAGTTCAGGCTTGTGCTGTACACCAGGAAGTCTGGGGTCATCTGGGAAGGAGCAGACATGGAAGGGTTAACAGTAGTACACAGAGCATTTGTAAAGTCTTCAGATGGGCCTAAGAACAAGCCTCAGCCAGATGGAAAACTTGAGCTCAAATTTTCCAACCAGTGCCCAGTCAACTGGCAACTGCCTTTGGAAGGACTGGACACTTGAAGCAGGGGATTTCAGAGCTCAGTCTGCTAGAGCAGCCATCGGAAGACAAGCACCACAGTAGTGCCATTTTACACAACTCTGCTCACTGGTTTCCTCTGTGTAGGTTGTGAAGGAATCTCAGACAGTAAAACCCCCAGGGTTAATCTGTTAGCTGCTTTGAGGTGAATTTTGACCAGGGATTAAGGAAGCCAGTAGTCTGTCCCTTTCCCTCCTACAGATTATGCAGAGCTCAGGCTAACACCAATCAGTTTATTCAGTTGCAGGCTCTGGTCTGTGGAGTCTGCAGACAGACTTTGGACGGGGGGGGGAAGTAAAGAAGTCTAGAAGTAAAGTCTGTCTGAGCCAGAAGAGCACCCTCTTCAGGCTCCACTTGTGAGCCTGCTCCAGGAGCTGAGCAGGCCAGAATTCTTTGCCTGGTGCATGAGATTGGAAGCTAAGAAGAAGCACCCAGGAAAAACAGGGAGCTTGTCAACAAGAGGGACAAAATCCCACCCACTGTTCTCTCCTGCTGCCCCATTTTTAACCCCATCAGACAAGACAGGGGCAGTGATGCTAGGGATCAGTAGGGGCTCCTGGCTTGCATAAATCCTTACCTGCAAGGTGCTGCCACATTCATGGAGCCCAGCTGCAAAGATCACGGTGTTCTCTGCAGCATTAAGGGACACATACCGGCAGGCAGCTGGGCCAAGGCTCAGGTCAGCAGCTTTGATCAGTCTCCCCATCCCAAAGAGATCCCTGTGCACAGTGATCACCATCTGAGCCTCCTCACACTGCACCGTGACAGGCTGCAGCAGGGACACAGCCCTGAGCTGGGAAGCATCAACCCGAGCCCAGGGGGAGGGCTGGGCAAGAGAAGGCACATGGGCTTGTCGTTGAGGGGGCTCAGCTCTGGGGGTGGGTCTCCAGATGGCTGAGTCACTCCTAGAGAAATCCCAGGGATTGTAACAGGTCACCCCACTGACCACCCAGCACAGAAGAGCAAAGCCCAGGCTGTTTCTGTGACTCAACCTGCCTGCTTACAGCAACCCCAGTATGGAGGGAAACTGCTGCTCTGGGGCTTTATACTGTGAGCCAGAGCCAGGTGACAGCTGTCCCAGGTAATTAACACCCTCCCCTAATCTGCAGGTAACCGGGGCCCAATCATACCCAGTGCCCACGCCCTGAACCAGGGAAATAGGAGGGCCAATGGGAATCAGCTCCACCTGTTGGTCAGTACATCAGCTGCAGTTTGGGAAATTCCTGCCCTGTTTCGTTCAATGGAAGGCTAAGGGTGGGCTCCACCACAAAGGGACCGCAGGCCCCTCAATCCCCAATTTAGGTCTGTAAATCCTGGGTTTGGCTCCACTGTGATCCTCAAATCACACAGCGGCAAAGAATCCTGAGGCACCTTATAGACTAACAGAGGTATTGGAGCATAAGCTTTCATGGGTGAATACCCACTTCGTCGGATGCTACCCCTCTGATACAAACCATACAGTGAACTCTGTAGATGCCCAAATTCACTCAGCAGCACCAAAGTTTTTACAGTATAAAGTTCCCTGGTGCCCGTGTCTCAGCCTCTGGGCACGTGCCCAGCTGCCTCCCTCTGGGAGTCTGGGCACCTGTCTACCACCTAAGCCCAGAGCCATCCATGAGCCAGGGGAAGTTAGGCATTTTGTTGCCTACGTTGTATGCGGAGCCCAATTCACTAGCTGTGCTGCTTGCCCATGTTGACCCCATTCACAATTGTACTGCAGCAGGACGTGGTGTCCTCCTCAGATGTTTTAGCCCAGCGGTTAGAGCATTCACCTGGAATATGGGAGACCCAGGTTTCATTCCCCCTCTCTGCTGAGGGGAGAGAAAGGACGTGAACAGGGGTCTCTCATCTCTCAGAAGAATGCTTGAACCACTGAGCTAGGGGACATTCTGATGTTGGGCTTCCTCCTACTTTCCCATTCAAGCTGTTCTGTTGTGGATAAATGATGAAAGAGGGACCAGTCTCCAGTGCTTCCACCTCCCACTGGACTACAGCCGCATTCCTGGTCACATGCTCTCTCAGTCTGGCCCACCAAGTGTTCCACTGTGGATAAGTGTGAAAGTAAAATCTGTTCAAGGGGAAATTTGTGTCCTCTCTAATATCCGCATAACTCGTCAGATGAGTTCCAGAACTGGTGTTCTCCTTCCAGGGTTGGGGTGGAGTTTGCTGGGTTGAATTGTTTTCCCCAACGTGTACCCACATCTGCCCCCATATCTCCCCTCCCCAGAATGGTTTGTTTCTCAAAGCCAAGAGAGGGCCTGTCCTGGGGGGAGGATCCATGTGAAACTGAGATTCCTGGGACAGGGACTGTGACACTTCTCAGGGCAGCCAGGGCTGTGCGGCAACCTAGTTGCCACCAGCCTCCTGTATGAAGGAGCCTTGCCTGTGCCAGCTGGGTGTTAGCTCCCCAATGCAACCAGCCCATCAGCGCCTCAAGCATTCTTCTCTGGGATAGCCCAGCCCTGTGTTTTGCCTGGCAGGTTGACAATCAATGCGCCCCAGGCTTCAAGTCCCTTCAAAGTGGGATCCAGCCCTGATCACTGGAGATCCACAGAAATCCCAGACCTTCTGTTGCTAAAGGACAGGGCGTCCCCCTTTACCAGTTTGGCGTTAGCTCACCGCTCTTGTATCACACACAACGCTTCAGCCGAATTCTAGAGCAAAAGGAGATTTATTTAAGACAGAATAGTCACATAAAAATGGTGTGAGAGCTGGAAACAAACGGCTAGCTGTAAAACAAAATCATAACTCGCGTTCTGGAGCCTACGCTTAACTAACAAGTTATCCTCCAGTCTCGAAAAGTGTCTCTCACCGAAGTTCTCTCCAGCATTTTCAGCTAAGCCTGGCTGAGACTCCTTTTTCATGACACCAACTCGCTGTCAGTTTACTTCCTAGGCACCTGAGGTCGGGGTGTCTTTTTGCTCCTCAAATACACCAGAATGCACCTTTGATGTTTACCTCTAGCTAGGGTTCCCCCTCCAATGTTGACTTCATCCTGTTAGTTTCTTTCTGAAGTCTCTGCCAGCTCCTCATTAGCTGGCTGGAGGAGTTTGTCTCAAGATGCACTACCTTTGAGAGGCCTGCTTCATCTACAAGGCCTACAGATCGTAATTTTCAGTGCTCCTTGCATACTTCCCATACCTACATCTCACAAAGGTTATGATGACCTGTGTGACCCGGGGCTTCATTCGAGACCTTACATGACATTCTTTTGGTGAACCCAGGGGGTCCCTGTGCCCCGGTGTCTCCCAGTACCCTCTGTCAGTTGGCATCATGAGGTTCTTGGGGCAGAGGTACCCCTGTGGGAATCTAGTGGCCTGCACCAGGGGCAAGCTCCAAAAGCTAGTCCATATGAAGTTATTCAACTTTATCTCTGGTTTGATGGAGCAACGAATGGGACTGCTGCGAGCCCTGCATGGAATGACAGTGTGCCCAGAGGGAGACAGACACTTGTTCTCAACACCATACCTGTGGGGAGCCCATGGGATGGCATGCAACTGGTCCATTCCACTGACAGCTCTTAATACGTATTTGTTCCTGCAGCACTAATAACTGATTAAGGCTTCATTGCCCTATACTAGGGCAAGGCAGCTCTCGTGCTCCGGCATCTTAGAGCTAAGCTAACTGAGAGGTTACATCAAGTTCCCCCTGGGTAAGCTAGAAATAAAACCCAGGTCTCTCCAGATGACCCCAGTCACAGCCGTGCATGAATGAATGAATGAATGCATGAAGTGAATGTGGTCGGTTACCTTCCCTGTGCTAAGCATGAGACCACAGTCTCCTCCCACAGCTGGGTCGAGAACCCAGGAATCCTGATTCTCTGCCAAGCAGCTGTGAAGCCCACTGACAGAAAGGTTAGGTCAAGGGGCAGAGGACTGTGTCCAAACCAGGTGAGTCCCAGGGGTGTAATTTTGGCTCCACATGATGGAATTGCTCTTTTCCCAGTTTAGTGAAGGTTGTAGCAAAATTTCTATTTAAAAATCAGATTTTGGCATCCCCTCTTCAAGGCACCCGAGAAAGCCAGAAAACTGGCAGGTCAGGGCCTGACAGCTCTACCAGCT